CAATAAATGCTTATTGAAGACATAAGTGGAGAGGATGGATGATGGAACACATGGAGCATGACATGGGCATGACAGGGACCCCCACCAGGAGGGGAAAAGTTCTTTAGATTCTCTCGACTGGGCTGCGCCTCATGCGGTTAAGGCTGCTTCCCGGAGCCTCAGGGGTATGGAGCCAGAACAGTCCAGAGAAAGGCCTTTATTGTCCCCAGGCTGGGGAGCAGGGTCAGAGGTAGCTGATGACATCATTGCAGATGATGGGCTGGCGGCTGCGGCAGCTCATGAGGGCGGCAAAGCGTGAGACGTCCGCAGGCAGCTCAGGTTCGGGGCGAGGTGGGCACGACAGCCGCTTTCCCACCATGGCAGCCCGCCGTGCCCCAGCCAGCCGGCGCCGCAGCTGCTCAGAGAGGCCAAGCAGGAACTGCGGGGGCCGAGGGCGGGCACGGGGCCCACTCCCACCCCCACCACCCCCCTCACTTGCTGCCTCAGGCAGCTCCATCCAGTTGTGCACCAGGTCGGCAAAGCAGTTGTCCCCCAGCACCAGTGGCTGGCGACTGCGACCCCTGCTCAGCAGGGCTGCTGTCCAGTCCTCTGAGTCCAGTCCCCGCCAGTGCTCCAGGCAGGCGTCTGGGGTGGACTTGGGCCGTGGTCGGTGGGCAGGTGGTGCACTGGCCAAAGAGGCCCTGCTAGGCAGGGGGAGGCCACTGGCTGAGAGGCGCTGGCTATGGGGGGGCCGTGATGGGGGTGCTGGGCGCTGGAGTACAGGCAGCTCTTCCTCTCGCCATGTGCTCCCTGACACCTCTGAGAAGCCAGAGTCCCAGTCCAGGGTGTGCTCCCTGGGGCCCCTCAAGGCTGCAGCCCTGTCCCCTGTCATCACAACTTCTTCCTCATCCTCCTCTTCCACACAGCAGGCCGAATCCTCTTCTGAGGCATCTGAGGCCCTGAGCTGGTGGCTGGGCCGCACAGCTCTGCCAGGCTTGGGGGATGGCCGCAGGGAGCCAGGCATCTGGGGTGAGCCTGTGTCCCGGCCACACAGCTGCAGAGGAAGAGAGGGCACCAGTCGGAGTGGCAGCACTTACTAGCCCTGCCTACTGCCTGGCCCAGCTAACCCTGAGAACAGAGGGCCAAGGAGAGTTGGAGAGGTCTGCTGGCCTGGGTGGCAAGGCTGCTGTGGGGCACAGGGCCAGTGTTGGGGTGCTGGCACATGAAGCCCGTGTGGCTCCCATCTGCCCACCTGGTGGCGGTCCGGCAGGCTGCAGCACGCAGGGCCAGGCAAGTCAGCACCCGCCACTAAGGCAGGCGGGCAGGTGTGTAGGCCTGCACAGGGAAGTAGTGCCTGCCCAGGGCTAGGGGACATCCCATAGCTCTTGGGGGACTCAACTCTCCCAAGACCACAGCTTCTTTCAGAGAAGGATACAGTGTTTGCCAGGTGAGGAGTGGAGGAAGGAGGAACAGGCAAGCCTGGGGTAGGGGGAGTCCACAACAACGCTAGCGCCTCTTCAGTCCCTTGGTGCCTCCTGCCCAGCCCCAAAAGAGGTTTGTCCCCTACCATCACTACCCCCCGCCGCCCTGGCAGCACGGCCAGCTGGGTGGCTGTTACCTGATGCCCAGCGCAGCTCCCAACCGTCCGAAACGCGACGCGGGCCATCTGGGCCATCTGCGCCGCCCCGCCCCCATCCCTCCTCGGATGGGCACTCGGGACAACCCCTACCCGTCCACGTTCGGGACAGGCGGCAGCCGAGCAGCCCCCACCCGTCCCCACGAACCACACCCGCGCTCAAGCCTCACCAGTTCCCAGCGGAGCTGGCCCAAGAAGCTGTCAAGTCGAGCGCTGTGCATACCCGTGCCGGAGCCTCCGCCAGGCCTGCCGGTTCCTCCTCGAACCGCTGCAGGAGCGGCGCTGAGAGGGCCCAGCGGGCGGGCCAGCGGGGCCCTTGCCCCCTCCGCCTTTAGCCTCAGCTCCTCGCGCTCCGTAGCTCCCGCCGCCACCGCCCCAACATCTGGCAGCAGCGCCCCGCCCCTGGCGCCTTCGCCAATGGGGGCGGGGCGGGACTGAAACGACCCCGCCCCTCGGGCCGGCTGGGGCGGTGACCCGGGCACCTCCTCTCCCTCCTCCGCCCTGGTCTTATGTGTGTCGGGGTGGGGG